AGGTAATTAATATAATATTTGAAAGTAAAATAAAATTATTTTAAAGCAGTGAAGCATAAAACGTTATTTTTAGTGAAACATTGCCAAGGCCAAACAGGACAAGTACAGTTCCCACAAAAAGTATTTGGACACTTAAGCTACACAAAATGTTTAAATGACATTGCATTAGAAAGTGTTAAACCACGTGGCATTTATTTATTTTACTTTCTTTGGATACTTTCTGTTGGCGAATGTTATGTAACATGTCCAGAGTTAATGTGATGAACTACACCTGCGGTTACTCAGCTGGGACACCTGTGTGAACTTGAGAGGAACTGACTTCATATATTCACTAATAGAGACCAGTTGGTTTAAAGTAATAGAACAAATGGCTAAATAATTAAAATCAGCTCTGAGAAAAGGTCAAGCATGATTTGTTAGCAGATAACACTTGATTTGATATATTACTGTTTGAAGTTTGGGGTCTGTAAGTTATTTTTTTTTTTGTTATTTTAAATAATTTATTTTCAACAAGGGGGCATTTAAATGAGTGAAAAGTAAATAATAATTACAATAAGTTTTGTCATTCACCTTTGTGTCATTTCAAACCTGTCATATGGAAATATGGAAATACTTTAAAAAATACTTTATGGTGCTTTGTTTTTGTCTTTATTCATAGAAAAGAGCACCTTCTTTTCTCATTTTGTGTTTCATGAAAGAAATCAATTTGAATTTGGAAAGACATGAGGGTGAGAAAATAGAATCATCATTTTCGGGCACCAGAGGAAGGAAAGAGACTGGCAACACAGACACTTTCTTGTTTAGAGGTTTCCGGGTGTTTTTTTAAAATTTTTTTTTTTACAGGATCTCACCTCAGTGTTAACTCTCAGGGGCCATCAGGCCAGACATGGGGATCTTTTTTCAGCTTGCGTCCAGCCTCAGATCTTCAGATTATCACCAAGTGCACTGTGATTGTGACCCTCGAGTGTAAAGGGCCAACGGCTGTGTTTCATAAGATGGTAGAAGGATAAACAGTATCTTCATCTCAAATGAGTTGGTTTAGATTAAATGATTAGACAAATGAACCTAGATGGAAAAAGATTGGTTGCAGTCACTAGTAACATCATTATTTGTGGAAACCTGCAGAAAATGTCACCTTTTCAACTTTCCTGGAAAGGATGACAGCATCCCTTTGGGATGAATGATTCACTGCAAGAATGATTATAACACAAACACACACTTTTAAGGTCTGTCTCTTACCTGGACACTCTTAGGAGTGATCATCTGATTTACAACACACTGCCTTTTCCTTCCCATCAACCCTTTTGAACTTATTCTGTTAGTTATAAGCTTCGGTTTCACCCAAATTCTTTGGTAAAAAGCTTGAGGAGTAGAGGCTGAATGTCAAAGTCTGAAATTTCCCCAGACGGCAGTGGTGTTCCTCAGAGGATAAAGACAGGCTTGCTGCCCAGAGAGGGCGGGTGTACTGGGAGTGAAGGGGGTAACGCATGTAACTGATCGCTGGAAGTGATTTGGTCTAAAAACAACACAGCATTGTGGGAGCTGGAAGGGGCAAAGCAAACAACCCATATTTTAAGAAGACAGGCCAAAGTTCAGTGGGTGTTGTTTATTTAAAGGCAGATCATTCTAGTCCTTTCCAACTGATGTGGCATGATCACGTTAGTCATTTGCCTTGAGGAATTAATATACTTCTTCTGGTTTTAAAATCTCATTTTTTATTTGTAAACACTGCTGGTGTGAATAATACAATATAATCCCGTTGGTGATTTGACTTGAAAAATTGACTTCAACTTTCATATATATTTATATATATATATGTGCTGTCAAACGATTAATCGCAATTAATCGCATCCGAAATAAAAGTTTTTGTTTACATTATATATGTGTGTGTACAGTGTATATTTATTATGTATATATAAAAACACACACACGCATGTATATATTTCAGAAAAATATGTTGTTTATATATTAAATATATTTAAAATATAAATTTTATGAATATAAATATAGACATGTAAATAATTTCAAAATATATACTGTATGTATGTGTATTTATATATACATAATAAATATACACAGAAGCTTTGTTTCCCAGAGGACTTCACAATTTAATTTAAGAAGAGTGCATAATAATAATAATAATAAAAATGTATGTCATTCTCATGGTTTTAAAATCTAATTTTTAATTTGTGAACACTCCTGGTGTGAATAATATATAATATAATATAATATATAATTATATGATATGATCTCATTGGGCATTTGCCTTGAGGAATTAATATTTTTTTTTTCGAATAATTTTATTCACTCCTAGTATAAATATGATATAATATGATATAAAGTAAATTAATATAATTTATTATAATTATTACTTATATATTTGGCATTTCACCATGTAGGTTTGGAGCAGTTCTGTTTTAATCTTGGTAGTTCTGTTTTGCAGAATCAGAGCGCCATCTAGTGATGCACATAACCTTTATCTAACCCAAACGCAAGTAATTTCCTAATAAAATACATATTAACACGATTTATGTTAGATTTTGAGATGAATCTCTTCAGCAGTGATGTGACAGGCTGACAATTGTCTGTGTTTTTCTTCCTCCAGTTCTTTGACAGACGGGTACGGACAGACGGGTGTGACTCCAGCGCGTCCTGCCACAGCTTACGGCTTTCGGCCTGATGAGCAGTTTTATTACGGTTACACAGCATCATGGTAGGAGAGTGTCAGGAAAGACCTAAAACCTATTAAAAACCAATTAAATGGTTCTCAAAAGATGCTAGTTAAGTCTCTTTACCATTTCGAATGAAAGCAACACTACTGATTTTCTTCATCATCAGTATTTCTTTCTATGTAATATGTGGATATTTATTACATTCCATGTGAATCTCAGTCTGAATGTGTTTTAAGATGAATGTTCTCAGTGAAGCTATGATTTGCAGCCCTCACTTTGAGCTTGATCATGTAGTTTTAACACATCCTACTTTAGCCTACTGTGTATTGCTTGTCAACACTGAAGAAGCGAATGGCACCACATTGCCTTTTCTGTGCAATAGAACAAAAGTAGGATTTTAGTTGCATGCTGTTTCAGTGATGTACAGGTGGATCTCAATATATTAGAATGTCGTGGAAAAGTTCATTTCAGTAATTCAACTCAAATTGTGAAACTCGTGTATTAAATAAATTCAATGCACACAGACTGAAGTAGTTTAAGTCTTTGGTTAAGTTATGAACGTTGAAAACACCATCTATTTATACATTAAAGCAAATCCGTTTAATGCATGACAGTTGCTTAGGTTTCTGGAAGCAAAATATTGTGTAGCTTTAGTTGCATTTCATGCACTTATAGTTAATAGTCAATCAATGTCATCCATAATAGGATTTCCTTCAGTTTTGCATATGTTGCTTACATAAAGCAACTGATATAAGGGTCATTTTAATGATAGTGGTGCCCCTCTGTGGACTCGCATGTGAAATTATGTATTTTGTTCAAATACATTTCATGACAACACAACACAGTGCCCATGGGAACAATAATGTCACTTTACCGTCTTAATATCTTGATTGTGCTAAACAAATGTCACTTTACAGTCTTAATATCTACTCACTAATGTGATTGTGCAAAACAATGTTGCCTGTTTCTTTGCTTTTGATACTGTAGTACCAGCCATCTTGGCTTGGTGCACTGCTAACAGCTTCATATGTATTTTGTAATGTAGCCAAACTCAAGTGTACTTTTAAAATAATACTGGTCTCTTTATGTGCGTTTTAGTATTTATGAAACTCAATTTCATTGGTGCCTGGGACTTGTCTTAATTACTGTTTTATATAAATTGCCTTTTTATTTTATGTGGTGCAATATGAGATACATAAATTGATGTTTAAAAGCTTTCCTTGTGCATGTTACTTTGATAGAAATCTTTTGCATATAGGTGGGTTTTAGCACAGCAGGAACTCCGCAAATGCTTACCTTGTTTACTTTCATTGATTGTAGTGAAATGCCGTGTATCTCAATTCATTCTTAATCGTTCACTCCCATCATTCAGACATTCCTTAAAAGGGTGGTTATGCATATTTATGCATTGATGGACTGTCTTATTGTTAATGTGGATCTCATATAGGGAGCCAAATGCCCGGAGCAGAATCTGTAGTGACTGTCTCCATATAACACAGATCTCAGTGGTTCTGCTGAATGTACCTGCAGTGCACATGTGGCAAATGTACTTGTCACTCAACGTTTGTTCATAACAACAAACAGCAGCTCGCTGTCGATATGTCACAGATCCAGATTCCATGGAAAACAAACCTGTCGGGCCTGCATTGTGGGTCTAAAGTAAACAGTCATCCCTGGTTCATGGCAGACTATGACAGAGCTTTGCATTTTGGGGAAATGTTCAAGACCCTTATTGTTTAACCTTTACTCATGTTGTGAAGATTGAAAACTACCTTGCCGGAATTGTAAAAATGGCATGTTTCTTTCTGAAGGATTTCTCATAAAGATTCACAAAGGACACTCATTTCCAAACTCAATATTAATGTTACAATTTTGATTTCATATATTATTCAAATGCTAACAAAGCAATTCATTTGTACATGTTAGCTTAAAACAATATTGAAATAAGATTATCTATATTACATGTATTTTATTCAAATAATCCTTATTAGATAGAAAAAAAACATTTCATTCTCTTTAACTACTTTTATACAACACAATATATATATATACTACCTTTGAAAAGTTTGCTGTTGGTAAGATTTTTTTTAATGTTAATATTCTGAAATATTATTACAGTTTAAAATAATCGTTTTCTATTTGAATATATTTTATAATGTAATTTTACAGGAGTTCTGCATATTATTATAGTGGGCATTGTGATACTTTAAGATGTTTTGATGAATACAAAGTTGAAAAGAACAGCATTTAATCGAAATATATTTTTTTGTATTATATTACTGTTCTTAGTGTCAGTTTTCATCAATATAAAATATTAATTTCTTTAAAAAAAAATCTTACTGACCCCAAACATTTGAATAGTGGTGTGTATATACATATACAGTATATCTACAGTAAACTATAATTACCTTCTGTGCAATGATGAAACCAACTTCAAAATGTACAGTTTGTCTCCTAACACAAAAAAATGAAGGGGTGAACAAGTTTTAATTCCCGACATGGTCATTGAAACTTAAACTACAGCATCTTGTTCCTCGAACGTTTGAACTTGAACTTTTTCTCCATTGTCTTTGGAAGGCTGAACCATGTCCTCTATTTCAATAACCTCCACTACCAGGTCCCGGATCTCCTTCACACAGTCCAGGGGCCTGGGCTCATCCTCTAGGTTTGGTAAAGACTGGGATTCTGAGGCTTTTTCTGAAAGATCCATGATTTGTTTGCCTGTGAACTCTTTGTAGATATCTCCGTCCTCTGCATCTTGAATAGATAAACAAACTGCGATCGGATATGTGCTTTCTTCATGTATTAGTGCCTTAATCCGGGCTGGATCATTTGATGAATCTTCTGTCATTTCCTCGCTGTTGTCCTCAGTTTCAGCACGCTCACCATTAGAGCCAGAGGTTTTCATACAGATTGGGTTGACTACTACTGTGGGCTTATTAGCAAAGTCTGAAGACGTTGCATCACCTCCTGCTGGTAAATTGCTACTACCAGCACTTTCTACAGCTTCTGTTACCTTAATAATGGGAATGGAACTGACCAAAGCTTCCATGGCATTTGTGGTGAGTTCTGGTTTAGTCTCAGCTGATGTATCCAAGGTTGATGTTTCAGCAGTGATAAATACATCATCACTGCTCTCCTCTAAGAGTGTTTTGTTTTCTCCTTCATCGATTTTTCCCATGATAGGCAGAGCTTGTTCCAGTGCATTGCTTTCTGACAAGTGAACAGTCACAGATTGGTTTGCTGTCAGACCATTGCCCAGCAGCGGGGAGGGAGGCATGTGTGTGCGCAGTCTTGGGGAGGTATTTAAGTGTCCTGGGCTGCTGGGTGCGGATCCTGGGGGTGTGAAGGATAAGCTGGACACACTGAAATTGTATCTGCTCTCTGAGAACAGGTTGAATTTCTTCTTGCTGGCTGCCTCCTTGACCACTGCCAATCAGAAGCACAAATCAGATTTGAGAATGTTGTTTTAGGGAAATCTTAAAGCTAATTCTAATAATAATATATAGTAATAATTTCTAGTGTCCTATGAAATCCATTTTATTTTTTCTCAAATTCCATTTTTTCTGTTTAGTTTTTTCTGGATTCCGTTTTTTTTTCTTCTAGACTCTTTTAATGGTAAAATTAAATTTAATCAATTCAGTTGTATTTTTTTTCCAAGTTCCGTTTTTCCATTTGAATTTTTCTAGACTCTTTTTTTTAATGGTTTAATTTTATTTAAAAAAGCATGTCTAATTAATTGAAATAATGAAGCTTACAATATCAAACAGCAATTTATTAAAAGCCCTATGAAATGTTTTCCTTTTTTTTCTCCAATTCAGTTTTATTTTTTACCAAATTGTTTTCCATTAATTTTCTGGATTCCATTTTAATGGTTTCATTAGATATGAATAATCAAAAGCATCTCTGATAAAAAAATGTTTTTTAATGTTATTAAAATGTATTTTTAATTCAAAAATGTAATTAAGCAAAGCTGAATTTTCAGCAGCCATTATTCAAGAAACATTTCTTATTATTATCTTATTATATGTTGGAAACAGTATTTTTGGGAAAACTTTCATCCATTTTTTTCGGGATATTTTGATTAATAGAAAGTTCAAAAGAACAGCATTTATCTGAAATAGAAATCTTTTTGTAACAATGTAATAGTCTTTACTGTCACTTTTGATCCATTTAATGCTTCCTTGCTGAATAAAAGTATTAATTTCTTATAGACCCAAAATATTTGAACATTTGTTCTGTCTTTAAAAATATAATTTGGTTTGATATTTTGTTATAATACCAAGACATCTATACATGTTTATTTCTAAAACATTTTGCGGCCACTGTACGTGAATGTGCTAACATCATAATTGTTCTAAAATTGAATTGAATTTATTTTTAATTCAGTGATTTATACCTACTGTAATAATGACCCTAATATCAATAACATCTTTGCAAAAGCAGTGTGCAGAGACCTTGCTGTGATCATGTGACATACCCATGCTGACGTCTTTTTCCAGTATCTCCTGGATAATGTCCTCGTACACGTTTTCCACATTAATGAAGTTTGTATAATCAGCAAATATGTATTGCTCAAATTTGGGTAGTTCCTAAAAGTACATTTTGAGAAAAGACACATTTATTAGAAGATATAAACCATCAATGGTAAATATATGAAATCTTTCACTTCTTGTATTTACGTAGCTGTTTGTCTATCATTATGCAACTAATCTCAAATGTACCTCTATAAAGGATGGGGCCAGGTGCTTCTTGATGCTGGGTAGAGTGATGTTGATCAAAGCCTCCTGCAAGATCCTCTTCCTCACTGTGCTGCTGTCATAATCAAATTGCTGAAGCATGAAGACAAATTAAATTAAGCAATCTAACACAGACATCTGTGTTTGTCACTGAAAAGTTATTTGTTTACCTTCAGAACCCTGTTCGAAGCCTTTTGCATAGCCATTGAAAGACTGACCGATGGATCCTCCAGAGCCTTTCGCACAAGCAGCTCAAAGGTGTTTTCTGTATTCTCCATCAGCTAAAACAATCACACAACAGACATGTTTTGGATCAGAATCAGTCACAGAAAGTTAGAAAAGAGTTGGCTTCTTGGATACACAGTTTTGGGTACCTGTTTTATGTCTATCTGTGTGCTGTCCACCAGACCTTTAATGCGATAGTTGAAGGTTTGCTGTAGCTCTTGGACGTGATCTGCCAGTCCATTCACTTTCTCATAACAGCTCTGTAAATTAGCCTTGCTCATCTTAAACAGAGCCTTCAGTGAGAGAGAAAGAGTATACAGTTAAATATAGTTCAAGTCATAAGAACTTTTTATGGTGATTATGGTTTTTCTCACCTGTCGGAGCTCCTCCCTCTGCTCAGCGTCCTGGAAGTCCTGACACAGCTGCTCCATCATGCCCTCGCTCAAGTCCCGGGCCTCTGTGAAGCCCAGGCTTATGGGTCCCATCACTTCCTCCAAGATGGCTGGCAGGTACGGCTGCACCTGCTCTGTGCAGTATTTCGTTGCTGGCTCAGTTACCATGGCTAACCAGGTGGGAAGAGAAAAAATGTAGTACTCAGATATATACAAATTTTTACAACAGTAACTGGGACCAAAAACACATTAACCTTCACTAATGAACATGCAAAAGAAATGTACATTTATAAATATTTACATCAAACACTACCGTTCAAAAGTTTTGGGTCGGTAAGATGTTTTTGAAAAAGTCTCTTATGCTCACCTAGGCTGCATTTATTTGATTACAGTAAAATGGCAATATTGTGAAATATGTTTTCTATTTTAATATATTTTAACTCCAGTCTTCAGTGTCACATGATTCTTCAGAAATCATACTAAAATGCCGATTATATATAAACAATACATTTTATTTGTAATGTGCCTTTCTTAAACTCAAAGCACTACAACATGTACAAACAAAATAACAAATCAACCAAAACTACATAATATCAAAAATAGAATCACAGTAATAAATCATAAATTAAAAGCTTTACTAAAAAGATGCGTCTTAAGAAGTTTCTTAAAACAATCCAAGGAAGCAGTAGTATACAGGTGCATCTCAATAAATTAGAATGTCGTGGAAATATATAGTAATTTATTATGAAGAAAAAAAAGTACTTTTTTTTTTTTTACTTTTTAAATTACTACTTTAATTTATATAAGCAATTCAAACAAACAAAGAATAAGAATGAACTCCCACTGTATGTGTTTATGGTTGTCAAACAGCTTAATACATTAATATTGATGAATAATATGCTGTGCATTTCAACTATTTTAAAATGGCTTCAAAGGCAACTAATCCATCAGTAAGAATGATCAATTTTCTTAACTGTACTTATGTGTACAGTATATACCAGAAAAAATATTCCACAGTGTTTATACTGAGAGCTTCAGGACACTTCATGGCACATGATATACTACCAGCAAGTTATTTAATATGTGACATAGGTGATCTATTGACAGTTCATTGTCATGTTGGCTGTAATGGGTGAAACTGCCAGTGTGCAGCATTACTCCGATTCCACATCAGCCCTGATGTAACAGCGTGTGACTTGTAGCTTTGGAGAATGAGTAAAGATATCGCATGTGGGAGTGTATAATACAACATGAAACAATTTAGGTGTGTTTTTATACTCAAATCTACCATTTAGTGAGAAAAACATTAAATTCTTCAGGACAAAAACCCAGTTATACCATTATGAAAAGAAAGAGAGAATGAGCCTGTTTGGTTCTGCCCGTTTCGAAATGATAAACATTGTCATAACTGTCACATTAAATTACAAAACTTTTTGTTTTAGCGCAGTGTTCTACATTTAAACAGCTAGAACATTCCATATCATACTAGCTCAACAAACGATGACAGCTATGTTGTTTATTGTGAAAGGACACCTACCCGCACATCACTGCCTAGGAGCATATCCCATGATTCATACTGGCCTTTCTCTTGCCTATAGAGCTGAATGGCTTTGAGGAAAGCCTTAACCTCACACTTCGTCTTCTTGAGAAAATCTGTTGAATAGACCAAATATTTCTTCACACTACAGCTTTCACTGGGTTACACCTTCCTACTGTGGTTTCATAACATCCTGAACATCAAAAGTCATACCTTTGTTCTGGTGGCGAACACAGTCAGATAAGATGGAGATGAATTCAACTTGAGAGTTCTCATCTTGGAAACAGAAATAGAAATCCCGGCGGTATGGAAGTCTAAGATAAACTGGGAACTGCCCTGGCATGTCCGCCACAGGGGGTGCAAAATCTTCCTGGACATCTGCAACACAACACACCATGTAAGTCATGGAAGAATAATTCAGAATAAGACCATTAAGATGCATAAAGAAAATAAATAGGATGATTTTTGATTTCTTTGGAAAACAAGGTAACGTTTATCATTTCTATTTTTAATGAATGAGGTTTATAAGACAATTATTATTTAGTAATATTATCGATTCAATTGCACTGACTCCATCAGATGAGGAAAAAAACTTTAAATGATACTAACTTTGTAAAATTGATACTGAACTCAATAATGAAAAGATGGATTTTAGTCCTACAGAGCAGGCCAATACACTCAACTGGAGTTAATTTTAATTAATTTTGTGGCTGAATACGTGTGTAAAATTAGCTCACTTAAAATATGTGCATGTACTCTAATTGTACTCACTGCTAGTGCAAGGGCAGCACTGGTTAATCATTTCCATGTATTTCTCTTCTGTAGTCAGAATGGTGCCTCCTGTAGGCATCAGTCTGTGTAGTGGAGGAGAGCCTTTCAAAAACCTCTGCAGGAAATCAGGTAAGAGATGATGGGGTAAATGTTATCATCACTTCACACAGCAAAAGCTTATTTGTTAGATGATGGATGATGGCTCATACCTTGTAGCTCTCATAGCACTCCAGGACGTAATTGGCACGGATTACTATATATCTATCCTTCCACTTCCTGCTGTCATCAAAGCATTGCACATTCTCTTCATACAACACCTTTCCAGGCTCTGGAGAGGCCTGGGTAAATAAATATAACGAGTCGATCTCAGAAGAAGAAATGATCATTGACTTAATGATACATATGTCTTTGTTTTGAAGTGAATCCATACATGAGATCTAATTCCTACCCGTTGTTTGAGAAGCTGTGTGTGCTCCTCTTTGCGTTGCTCAAGTTCATCTCGGATCTGGGACAGGTAAGCCAGAGAATATTGTTTCCTATAAATCGGTGCAAACTCCTTAAATTTTTCGTCCGCTTGCCCTGCAAGACAACACAAAACAAAGACAACTTTGTTTCATACATATAATGTGGAGTTGCACATTTTTTATCAATTACATGATATTATTACATGCTACATTACAGCTGGAAGAAACAAAGGGTTTAATGTAGCCTATTAATAATAGATGTTGTTGATATCATTATCGGAGATTAATAAATGAAAATAATTATTCCACGTTAACTAATGTTAACAAATGGAACCTTATTGTTATTATTAAAGTGTTATCTTGTTTCATGAGATAATCAACAACTTAAAAATTTAAGTCTTTAATTCTAATTAGCATTTCAATTGGAGAAGAATGCACCATCAATGAGTCCAACCTATAAAAACAGCTTGCAGTACAGAGGGCACAAATCAAAAATGAGAGGAAAGGAAACTGATTGCCTAAAATAAAATCTGATACAAAATAGGTACAGTCCAGAGGTGAGTGGAGAGGAAATTCACAGCAGATTGTCTAAATCAAGTCAAGTCAAGTCTGCTTTATTGTCAATTCTTCCACATGTACAGCACATACACACAGAGAATTGAAATTGCGTTACTCTCAGACCCTTGGTGCATACAGATAACACTAACAGTAGAACATAAATACAGATATACAGATTAAGTATAAAAGAGGTGGAGTCTTCTGTGCAGTGGTGCTGTTTTGTGCACCACTGAGCTGCACGTCTCAAAAGAACTCTCAAAGGAACATTGTGTTTTTCCCAGTACCACATACAAAATTAGCTAAACAATACAGCAGTGAACAGAAGATATTAATGTGTGTTTACAGCCAATCTGACTACTACTTCCTGCCTGAACATTTCAACACTCTTGTCAGTGTTATATAACTATATCATCTTGATTCTAAAATGGAAAGTTCCAGTTCTGGGTGCTGATTGGTCAATACAGCATATACGTGGTGTATATACTGTATAGTGGTTACATAAAATTAATATTAAAATGATTTAAAAACACCAACAAATTAATAAATGCAGGTCTCCAGCATGAAAACCAACGTATTTATCTCTCTTCTGACTTCTGACTCACTTGCCCCCTCAAAAGCGGTTATTTTTGTTGAAGAACAAAAATCTGTTTTATTATTTACCTATAAACTATTAATACTACTTGTAAAGATTATTTGTGTCTTTTATATTTTATTAAGTATTTATTAAGTAATAAGGCACTTTAATCATGGCAGAAGGCTGCACGTCACGACTAACATCTGTCTATATTTGTAAAACATATTTATAACAAAACATTTTATATACTGTTTTCAGAAATAAAGAAATATATCTTGACAGTCTTGAGTGAGAAAATTTAAAAGCATTTGCCTTGATGTAAACATTTTGCAGTGTTACTAATACAGAATGTGTAATTAATCGTTTCCCTGGAACTGATCGAACTTTTAAATTTAACACCCAAACCAGAATGTTCACTCTGAGAGGGTGTTCCTACTTTCTCAAATTCCTTGTGTACATTTTTTATACATTTTCAGATTCTTGCATTACATAACATGCAACTAAATTTAGATGACAGCTGAGAGCTATGGCATTCACTTCCAACATATTTCACAATGGAGTGAAAGTATACTGTAACGAGCTGCTCTATCACCGTTTTCTCTCTCTTTGCAGTGTACAGTACATCTCCTCATGCAGTCTTCCTTGAGCTATTGTTTTATTCGCAAAGGAGAGACTCATTGTTTTGGAAGGAACTGTGGTTTGAGATGTCTTAAATTCTTGAGCTCAGACGTGTAAGATGCTTGGCCTACCATAGACGTTATGAGACGGCATGACCTGCAAAGCCAGTTCTGTATGAACATAGCTCAACACAGACATCATTACACTTCAACAAGAGTACAAGGTTGACGGGAATGTTCCTAAACACCTGTACATGTGTTTGTTCGAGTTTTTTTTTTAGACATCCTTGACAATGAGCAGCTGTTGAGCACTCTCTTTTCACCTTCTTAAGTGTGAAAGCACATCATTTGAGTTTACTCTCTTTACTCTTTACTCTTCTTACTATTCACAGGAAATGGTCATATTTGTGTCCTATTTGTTCCCCCATAACATAATTAACCGGATACTAAATATAAAGTCACGTAATTGATTGATTCGCCTCTGTTTTGTGAGATGGAAAAACATCACCATTAAATCTAATTTGACAAAAAAATAAATGATTTTATTGAAATTAATAATTTCAGGAAGTGAAAAAAATGCAGAATCTGTCTTTGACACTCCAACACAGGTATGCAGCAACAATAGGACTTCTTTATAAACTGATATTTGAGGGAGCGATAAGTAATACAATTGTCCATGTTTAGACAAAGTCTCTCTTGAAGTCTTTATCAGATATTTATTATGGTTTTACTTATATTAGCTCATCAAAAAAAAAAATTCTGCATGAACTCAGAAACTCTGTGCATGTTTGTGGAACGATATCTACAATATCCACATTGTCTGACAATATTTGCTAGTTAAGGCTATTGTTGGGCATTTTTGCACCAAATTTTAAATGTAATATAGGTTAATATAGATTATATTCTGTTCTATTTTATATAAAAAATCCTGTAACTCAACTGGTAGAGTGTAGCACGTGGAACAAGGTTCAGTTACCTGGGAATGCACGGACTGGCAAAATATATACACTAGCTTGAATTCTCTGTAATTTGCTTTCAATGAAAGTGCATGTGAAATGCATAGATATAAAAATACAAATTATAATTAAACTTGCGATGGGACTAAAAATTGTAATGCTTTTACATAAGGATAAACACATCAAAATTAGTAGTACATTGCAAGTTTGTAACCACTTCTTCAGGAATGGGGATAATAGTTTCAAAATCAGCCAATGAAAAACCTATTTGTTGACCATTTATATAATATTTGGGGTACATGGCCTTTTAGCAGTTACAATTTTTGGGTGTTGAAAGTTTAGCAGTGATATTTTCAAACAAAATCATCACTAGACATTTTCAGATGCAAATGTCCTGAGTTTCCTGAGAATGAGCCTTTCATTAAAAATCAAACTAAGTTTTGAGAATGAATGGAAAAATATCTGAAATGTAGTTTAAAAACACATTTCAACAACACCCTCAGTAACGTAATGCTCTTTCAGCATGTTTTGTCAGCTGACAGATCTAAGGTGTTTTTCCATTTGAGCAAATAGCAGAGCTGCTTTTAATCCTTTACACTCTCTGAAACACACCAAAACCTCCACCCATATCGTTTCAATGGCCAGAAGAAGAAAACAAACAGGTTTCTGCCTCTCACTTCAGCTGTGCAGGTTACTGCAGTTATCTGATTGACACTGATGATAGTCATTGTCCAATGAGGCATTTACAAGTACAAATTCAACATGAATCTTTTTCTACTAGAGAGGCCATGCAGTATAGGACATTAGAAAACATCTCATGCATTTCGATAACATCCACCCTCTTTCTCTACCCATATCATTGCAGTATAGGGAAAAGTTTTGAACAACCTATTATTATTATTATGTACTATGTAGAGGCATCAGGAAATAAATCATTAATGTACAAACAACTTTTAATGCTATTTCCACACTAAAATTCTTTTAAAGTAAATTCCAAAACCACTTAATGACCTACAGCACATACCTTTTATGTAGTTGGATTTGTTTTCATCCAGTAAACTGGATGATGCTCCCATACTGCTCTGCTTAGTTCAGGTGAGCTCTCCTCTGCTGTGGTGAAGATGATTCTGTATCACTGTATTCACAACTGAGGGAGAATCCGAAAGCAGGTGTTATATTTCAGGACGGTGGGAGGGGCATGAATGAAACAGTCTCACCGGGACATTCAAGGGCTGTCTTTTAAAACCTAAAGAGCTGCCTAACTAGACAGCCTGTGATGCCCAAAATGCTGTCTAGGGAGCTCACTAAGTTTTGACACAGATCCTTTGATTCCATGAAAGCAATATGCTATATGATATGTGCTTTATACATCAGTATTCTCTGTAAATATGCAAGAGCATCTAAACTGTGATCAAAGCAGTTATCATCCAAGGTACTTCAAAGAAAAACCATGGTATGTTTTGTTACAGACTTGTTTGTGAAATACAATATACCTGTGACATACTAGACAGACTTGATCCCATTAAGGTCTATTACCACAGCTTCTATTCAAATTAACATACCAGCAAGTTAATTTTAGAACATTTCAGGGAGGTCTATACATTGTACTATGCAAATGAAGTACAACTGTACTGGTGTGGCACTCATTTACGTGTAAAGACTTTTCACAGGACAGTACATTCCAGCTGATGAATCACATAAAACCGGTGAACAAATCCAAGTCTTTTTTCACTCCAAATATGAAAGGAATTTTAAAAAATGAATAAAGCCCATTTTTCCATGATTTGTTTTTGCATTTTCAGAACAATAAAGCATGTCTCCCTAAATTCTATTTTTAAATCAAATTTTATAACGTACTACACAGTGAATAAAAACTCAAGAGAGTGCATTATGGTAATGAGAAAAATGTGCTTAATTTCTATGAAAATTATAAGATAATGTACATTCCAAAAAGTGAATTTATTAATAGTCTTAAATGTATGGTCAATTTTCTGTTGTTTTTTAAGTAAAATGTGGCCTGGAAATTTTATTGATTTATTTATTGTTTGTTTGTGATTCACCAACACAATGTTCTCAATGTCTGTGTTCTCATAAGAAAGATACAGTATATGATGTGAAATGTTTTATTAATGTCATAGCAATCACGTAAAACATTGAAGCAAAAATTAAGTGGAATAGAAAATCAGATAAAGGAAGATCAATATAATCCTTTGACAGGCTCTTTATAAATATTAGAGATTACTATTTTAAAAAACAAAAAAATAACTGTCAAATACTGCATCACTGTCCGATTAATCAAATACTGTAAGCCCGTAATGGGTCAAAGCCTCAATGCAATCCACAAAAAACATCAACAAAACTGGAACAACCCTTTTCATTCAGATGAAACTCTTGTTTTGTTTTGTTTTTATCCACAAGTTGTCGTAGAAACAAACTTCATAAAATAAACAGGAAAATTCATCAATGAAAACAGCCAAAGAAAAATCAGACCTTTGTGCAGTCCAAGCTCTCAAATGCATGTCCACATGGACAAAATCAAAATGCTGGTTTGGTTTCATTTGAAATCAGAGAGTTTGACGTCGGTCTGAGCCGGCAGCGCTGCTCTGAGGGGCGGACGAGTATGTAGGCACGCTGTATTTCGTGAGCACTTCTTTAAACTGTGCCAGGGTAGCATCAGTGCGCACGCCTGTTGGGTCAAAGTGTGTGCGGCTCACTCTGAACCCGGCCTCTGTGAGATACTGCAGGAACTTATTCAGTCTGAAAGAAGAACAGAGAGTAGTGTCAGCATTCTGCTTGCATTATGACACTTGTATTATTGTACATGAGTATATGACAGTGTATAGACAGGTTCGTGCTGACTAACTTGGGCATGTTCATGCCGCGGATGCTGTGCCGATGGATGCTGTAGTAGAACGCTGGATGCTCCAAAGATGTATCAGCTTTGATTTTCTTCAGCACATTCCCAGATTCCTCCCCTGTGGTCTTTCTTTTCCCTGAATACAAAAAGTAAAAGAAGATGCACCATACTTACTTTATACAATCTATTCATTTCAACTTTTATTTCAACCATAAACACCACTTAAAGGTATGGTCCACCCACGCATGTTTGAGCTTAGATTTACCATGTTTGATGAGCTCTATCAGGGCAGGCCCAAGCCTTTATGGGGCCTTAAGCATAATTTTATTTGGGGCCCCCCCTGTGCTACCAATACAACTGATTATTGTCACTGCTTGATTATTCGCGCACTATAAATCTAATTTATCACCTATCTAATCAAAATTTTACACAGACATATACGTAAGTAAAATGTTATATTATATTCTTATATATGTATATATATATATATATATATATATATATATATTATTTATCTCACAGAAGTGAGTACACCCCTCACATTTTTGTTCAACCACATAAAGTTTATTTTAGGTTTCAGACATTTAAATAGATATTTTAATTAAGCCAAATTAAGCAAAAAACGACATTTATAGTTTGTTAAATACACACTGATTTCTATGGAAAGCGGCAATAATCATTTCAATTAAAATTTGATGACGTGATTTATTCCTATCAAATACACATTGTGTAGGTAAAGTTTACTCTGTTTTTCCTCCCAGGTCTCTGGCCACTTACTTTCATGTATTTCGAGAGAAACGAGTGAATTTACGTGATGTAAATCGACAGATCCACACAACAGCGTCCGGCACGCATTATAGCCTAGATCAACATGGTCATTAAGGTTGTTTAAACAACAAAACTAATTAATTTACACATATTTGACAATCAGAATAAGCTATATCATATAATTTATGATATAATTAACAAGTTTGTGGATATTTTAAATAAAAAAGGAAAAATTAAATAAAAGCAATGCATCTGTCATACAGCGCTATTGAACCAACATGATGCGTTGCTAAGGAAATAAATAAATAATTATTTAATAATTATTTAATTATTTAATATTGCGTTTTTGTATTGTTATCATTGTGCATTCACATAATATATCACAAAAAAATATATATCAAAATCAAGCTGTCATTTCATGTACTCTTGGGGGCCCCCAAGCAGCCGCTTAGTTCGCTTATGACTTGGGGCGGCTCTAAGCGCTATATATGTGCACTAATCAATGTTAAAAGCTTAAATTAAAATATCTTGATGCTTTGAAATTTTGGTGTAATGGACTTAAAATGTTTCAAAGATAAACTTAAAGCTTATGGGGCTGGAATGACATGAGGGTGAGTAAATTATGACAGATGTTTAATTTTTGGGTGACTATCCCTTTAATCTGGGATAAATAGGAACCATTAAATCCTGAAGAGTAGGGAGGAGAACAGCAGATAAAACATATTGATAAAGCAACAAATACCTGATTGGTCAGAAGTATCTGCCTCTTCAACCTTCTGTAACGTTTTTATGACCACACCACACTCCACTAAAAACAAAGATGCGTCAAAATTAATGAAAAAATTCAAGTCAAGGCCCCATTGCTCAAAAAGCTGATTCAGTGTCTCCAGTTGTACTGAATCACAAATGAGCATTACTAAATAAGTGACGGCCAGAACTTGCACACCCAAACACACCTTGGTTGGAGAGGGCAGAGTATCCTGGGACAGGGAAAGGCTTGAGAGTGGTGCAGTCAGCTTCACAGATGAGAGTCTTCACCAGAGGCTGGATGTCTTCCATATTGTGCTGCACTGCCGCCACCAACATCCGCCTCAGAAATCCAGTGTTAAACAATGGACCAGCCCTGATGTTTGAAGCAACAAAGAGGAAAAAATAAGAAAATTTAAGCGCGATTAATTATGCATCATCAAGTGTTTTTACGTACAAATGACATCATCTCACCAAAGTGGTCCAAGCTCTACTGCAGTTTTTCCTGGCATACTCCCATGGCACTGGCAAGGCAGCTGTCTGTACAGGTTTTCTGTTAATACCAGATGTAGAAATGTGATTATTTATGCTTAGACTACTTCTATTTGCATTATGCATTTGGTAACTTTGATCAGTTCAAGCATTCCTTGGGAATCAAACCCATGACCTTGCCATTACTGGCTCAACTGTTTGGGCTACAGGAAGGCTATCAGGATGCTGCTATTTGTTTGTCCAAATGCCTTGTCACCTTCCACCATGCTTCCTGGTTTGAGGAACACCCTTTCTTCACACCACTGGCAGTGCAACAGCTGCCGCAGTTTCTTAGCAGACTCATCTGCCTGAGTGGGCCCTCTGAGAACTCGCACCACCACGAGGACAAAGTGCTCAAGAGCCACGGCCAATAGCACCTCGATCCCTTTGTTGCAGCGTGCGGCCGCCCTGCAAGTACATGCATTAACAAGACACTTTGCAAACTGTCAAATAAAATACATTTGTGTTTGGTAATTCATTTGAGGAAGTGCCCACCTGGCCACAGATGCCAATACCATACGTGCAGCGAGTTCCCTGTAATACTCGGTTCGGACGATCTGGCAGCCGTAATGTCGAAGCGTCACATTCAGGGATTTGGAGTAAAGCGAACCAGCGTCTGTTGACGTCACTGAGACTATGCCCAAGTTTCGAACATTACGAAAAGCTGCATCCAGATAGTTCACAGCCGTTCCAAATGGGTCGAGGTGTCTGATTTGAAGACAAGAATGTGGTGAGATTTGATATTTGCAATAACTAATCATAGGTACAGTGTTTTTAGTCATTCTTTTTCAGTCTCTTACTCACATGTAGTCAAAGGGTCTCAGGTGCATGATGACATTGGCGTCCATCTTCACCACCTCTACCGAAGCAATGGGAGAGTCTGCGTCTCCCGCTCCATCTAGCTGCCGGCCCGTACGATTCCCCTCTACTCGGATGTGGTTCAAATGACAATTCTCCTTAATCATCTTAACGCAAGCTTCATTTATGTCGTTTATAGTAACCTTTACGGAGTTATGCAGATGCTTTGCCCACTGCAAACCCATGATGCCTACAAAAGGGATCAATATGTTATGCAAATATGCTTTGTTATACTTTAATTTCTATTAAACAATTTAGAGCAAAACCTGAGCAATGATATCATCATCATGAGCTATTAGCTTGTCTTTATGTACAGTAGATTTCCTACCAGTGGCTCCAAAGGCATCGAGACATTCGAGTGGAT